CCCTATAAATACATAACAATTTTATTCACTTTCCACACCAAATCCTCATACAAACTCTTCTCCTTCCAATATTTGTATATTGTAAATATTTGTAAATTGTAATTTTTTTTTTCTTGCATTTGTAAATTTTTTATATTTTCTTCCATATTTATTTTTTTCTTGCATAATCATTTTATTTCTTACATTTCTAAATTGTTTATATTTTGTTGCATAATCTTTTTTTTTTCTTGCCCTTGCCCTAGCCTTTTGGGGTGGAACCAAAACAGGCAAGGCTGCCACTATTCACGTGAATAGTGGCAGCCCTTGCCTTGCCTTAACCTTTTGGGGTGGACTTGCTCTAAGCTTTGGACCAATTGTTTATTCAATATCTGGTTGTGAACTTGTTAAAATATATGCCCAAATTTTCAAAAATTTCTTGGTGCACCCAAAAAGTTGATTAGTACACTCTACTCTTTTTGGATGGTTTATATATATAATAGTAAAAGTACACACACTACAGTGACATGGGATTCGAACCTAAAATCACTTGTCCACAAATTAACGCCATTTTCTACTCGGCTAGTCCCGATGCCTTCTTGGATGGTCTTTAAGGCTAAACTCTTATTTTTACTTTTCTTTTATTTGATGAAATTGTGTTTTAACTCACTTAGCCCAGTGGGCCATTACACACAGATACCACATGGCTAGTTGAAGCTCAACTTTGATTTTTAATGAATTAAGAGTAAGTCCACCCCAAAAGGCTAAGGCAAAGGCAAGGCAAGGCAAGGGCTGCCACTGTTCATGTGAATAGTGGCAGCTTTGCCTTTTTTGGTTCCACCCCAAAAGGCAAGGGCAAGGGCAAGAAAAAAAAAAAGATTATGCAACAAAATATAAACAATTTAAAAATGTAAGAAATAAAATGATTATGCAAGAAAAAAATAAATATGGAAGAAAATATAAAAAATTTACAAATGCAAGAAAAAAAAATGATTACAATTTACAAATATTGGAAGGAGAAGAGTTTGTATGAGGATTTGGTGTGGAAAGTGAATAAAATTGTTATGTATTTATAGGGAAAACATCCATAATTTTTTGGTATTTTTTTCGATTTTTTTCGCTCGCTAACATCAGCGCCTTTGGGCGGCAACCCAGGCTGAATTTGCCCGTGGGCTTGCCAGGATTGGTGGTACCCATGGCTTGCCCGGGCTCCTACTCGCGCGCTGGAGGGCTTCTGGGCTCGCAAGGGGGGTCTTTTGCCCGGTTTGCTCCAAGCGGTGGACTTACTCTAATATGACACCCTATGACTTGCATGTTGAACCTATTTTTCTTTTTCTTTTTGGTCTCATGGGGCTGAATTGCATCATACAGTTTTCATCTTTTGTTTTTCTACAAAGTGGAATGGATGAACTTTTTGAAGATGGGGATTTTGGCGAATTGGTTTATGCATCTTTCTATGGTTGTAAGATCCCCAGCTAAACATAAGAATAGAAATGCAGAATCCCAGCAGAAATTGTTGGTTTTTGCCATTTTTCGTGACGTTAATGTTCATACACAATGGCAATTATTTTTTGTAGGGATAAGACATGATAGCAGGTCAAGGTCTAATGGTTTTATAGGGCTGTGGGCAAAATAAAAAAAACAAATTTGGCATCAGTTTGTGAGATGGAGGTGTTGTTGTCAACATTAGGTAGATCAAGAGAAACAAAATGTGGAAAGGTTTATTTTATTCAGTATTCACAAACACGAGCTACAGCTTTATACAAGAGTTGCAGATGTCGATCCTGTTATGTTGCCTATAATTACGACTAACCAAATATTCTATTCCCTACAATTATGGTTAACTAAGTACAGAACAAGTAAGTAAATAACTGAGTATCAATCTGCAGTATTGACTGCTTATTTTGTGTGATCTTCCTTAACACTCCCCCTCAAGTTGGAGTGTATGTTTATGACACCCAACTTGCCGAGCAATACTTCAAATTGTGTTGAACTCAATGGCTTAGTGAACAGATCAGCTGGTTGATTCATGGTTCGTATGTGAGCTGTTCGTATCATCCCTTCTTGAATCTTTTCGCGTACTAGGTGACAATCTATCTCTATGTGCTTCGTTCGTTCGTGGAATACAGGATTGGAAGCAATATGCAGAGCGGCTTGATTGTCGCAGAAAAGTGCAACTGGCTGTGTGTGGTTTACTCTCAAATCTTTCAAGATGTTTTTCAGCCATGTAATCTCACAACAAGTAGTAGCCATAGAACGATATTCCGCCTCTGCACTTGATCGTGATACAGTGCTTTGCTTCTTTGTTTTCCAAGAGATTGGTGCTTGGCCAAGCAAAATGCAATAGCCAGTTATTGATCTTCTTGTGTCGACACATCGAGCCCAATCGGCATCACAAAATGCCCGCAATTGTAATGAACCTGTGGAGGGTAAGAAAATTCCTTGCCCAGGTGTTTGCTTGATGTATCTGAGAACCTTATGCGCTGCTTCAAGGTGTGGCTGCCGGGGTTTATCCATGAATTGACTCAATACATGAACTGCATAAGCTAGATCAGGTCTTGTGATGGTCAAATAAATTAACCTACCTACAAGCCGTCTGTATGAAGATGGATCATTCAGTAGCCTTCCATTTGTCTGTGTGAGTGACAAGTTTTGTTCCACTGGAAACCGTGAAGGTTTAGCACCTAGGAACCCGGCATCATCCAATATTTCCAGCGCATATTTTCGTTGGCACAAAGTAATACCACGTTTCGACCTTGCAACCTCTATCCCTAAGAAATATTTAAGCTGACCCAAGTCTTTGAGCTTAAATCTCTTGGAAAGAAATTGCTTAGTCTCCTCAATGTCTTGTAAATTGTTGCCTGCCAATATCACATCATCAACATAGACAAGTAATGCTATGAAGCTACCTTGACGATTTCGGACGAACAATGAGTAGTCTGACAGTGATTGAAGAAATCCAGCAGCTTTGAGAGCGGTTGACAGTTTGAGAAACCATTGTCTCGAGGCCTGCTTTAGTCCATACAAGGACTTGTTTAACTTGCACACACGAGTCTCCCCCTTTCGTCCGAAACCAGGAGGTAAGGTCATGTAGACATCCTCATCAAGATCACCGTGTAAGAATGCATTATTCACGTCTAGCTGGTGCAAGTGCCACCCTTGTAAGGCAGCAATGCTAAGGAGCACACGAACGGTCACCAATTTTGCCACAGGAGCAAATGTTTCTTTGTAATCAACACCCTCGATTTGACTGTACCCTTTCGCCACTAACCGAGCTTTGTACCGCTCGACGGTCCCGTCTGGTTTTAACTTGATTTTGTAAACCCACTTGCATCCAACGGGACGTTTATGAGAGGGCAAGGGCATGAGAGTCCACGTGTTGTTTGCTTGGAGAGTTGCAATTTCATGTTGCATGGCATCTCACCACTTTGGATCTGTAATTGCCTGTGAAAAACTGGTGGGTTCTTTGAGAAGAGTGAGGTGAGTAGTGAAGGCTTTATGAGCAGAAGAAAGTCGATCATAAGACAAAAATTGTGAAAGAGAATGAGCAGTACCTGAAGACTTGACCACGTTCGTAGAAGATGAAGGTGCGGGTCTGGATTGGAGGGCTGCCTCGACATGAAAGTCCTACAAAAATGGTGGAGGCTTGGTTTGCCGTGCACTGGACATGATCTTGGAAGGGAAATTTGTCTTCAAAGAAAGTAATATCCCGTGAGACAAAAACCTTTTGGAGGATTGGATCAAACACACGATACCCTTTCTGACCATAAGGGTAGCCAAGAAAGATGCAACGAGTTGCACGAGGATCAAATTTTGAAGGTTTTTGTGCATGGGTGGAAGCAAAACATAAACAGCCAAATACCCGTAAATGAGAATAATTAGGAGCTTGATGGAACAATTTCTCATATGGTGTTTTACCATGAAGAAGAGGAGTTGGTGTTCTATTTATGAGATACGCTGAAGCAAGAATTGCATCTCCCCAAAACTGTCTAGGTAACCCGGCTTGAATAAGCAAAGCTCGTGCTACATTGAGCAAATGCCTATGCTTGCGCTCAGCAACACCATTTTGTTGTGGTGTGTTGACGCAACTAGATTGATGAACAATGCCTTTGATGGCATAAAAATTTTCAAGTTTGAACTCAGGACCATTATCACTTCGCACTATTTTGACTTTTGAATTGAATTGAGTCTCAACCATGTGAATGAATTTAACGAGAAGATCCCTTGTATCAGATTTTTGTTTCATCAAATAAACCCATGTACTCCGAGTGAAATCATCTACGATAGTGAGAAAATATTTTGCACCAGAAAGAGAAGCAATTTTGTAACCACCCCAAATGTCAACATGTATCAAATCAAAACATGCTTTACTGGAAATGGAACTCAATGGAAATGGTGACCTTGTTTGTTTGGCCAATGGGCAAATTAAACACTTGTCTGGATCACAAGATTTATTTTTGGAAAAGGGAAATAACTGGAAAACTTTGTTTGACGGATGTCCAAGGCGTTGATGCCAAAGACCAGAGGCTAGAGTTTGAACGGAGTTGCATGTTCCTTTCCTTGGTTGATCGAGATAGTAGAGTCCCTCCCGCTCAAATCCCGTCCCAATCATCTTCCCCGAGCGTAGGTCCTGTATGACACAAAATTGGCTTAGAAATAAAGTGATACAAGAAGAGTCTGAGGCCAACTTGCTAATGGAAATCAGATTGAGTCGGAAAAGTGGCACACATAAAACGTTATTAAGAATGAAATTGGGAGAGAAAACAATTTGTCCAATATGGGTGACTTGAGCAAGTGAACCATTTGGTAATTCAACAGTATGATTTTCAACCATTTTTGAATGTGTAAGCAAGTCAGGGCTACAAACCATATGATCTGTAGCGCCACTATCCAAGATCCATGTGTTCACCTTGCCATTATAAGTGAGGGAAAAGGCTTTACCTGAAAGTTCTTCATGATTTGAAGAATTACCAACTTGATTGGCCATAGAGGATTTTTTCTTGCTCAACATGTGGAGAATCTGTTTACATTCCTCCTGTGAAAAAAGGGAAATTGGACACCGTCCCCTTCGCGTCAGATGCATATGATGCAACCTGGTTGCCCTTTGAGAGACTACCTTGTTCAGCCTCTAATGATGCTGCTCTCTTACGGCAGTAATCAAATGTGTGACCTTTCCAGCCACAAAAGGTGCACTTGAGATGAGCACGGCAATTCTTGGTGCTGTGATTCGTCCTGTTACACTTTGCACACCGAAGGCCCCTCTCTTCGGATTCAGACTCACGACTCGAGTTCTTTACGGCAAAAACAGCTGCTTCTGGTTGGACAGAAGCTTTCCCATTAGAAACCTCTGCCTGCCTCTCATGTCGAAGGACCAGCGAATATGCTTTGTTTACTGTGGGCAATGGTTCCAATAGAAGCGTGTTACCACGAACAGTGGCATATGATTCGTTCAGACCCATGAGAAATTTCATTGTTTTCTGAGTCTCTATGTATGAAGCAATCTCCTTGGTTGTTCCACAGCTACACGCAGGAATTGAGCACAACGCATCCCTTTCATCCCAAAGGCTCTTAAGTTTAGTAAAATAGGAACTCACGGTCATGCTGCCTTGTATGCAGTCATGGATTTCATTCTCGATATGGAAAAGCTGAACGGTATTCACATGAGAGAATCGCTCTTGGAGATCAAGCCACATCTGGCACGCATCTTTGCAGTGAATGACGCTGCCAGCAATTTCCTTCGACATTGACCCCAATAGCCATGTCTTGACTAAGTTGTTGCAGCGCTTCCATTGCTGCAATTCATCAGGTTCATCCCCACTTGGTGCTTTGATCGACTTATCAACGAAGCCAATCTTGTTTTTGACCGTTAAGGCCATGGTCATGGACTGAACCCATGTGCTGTAGTTATCTTCTACCAAAGGTTGCGGGACAAGGATTAAGCCCGGTTGGTCCGCATGATGAAGGTAGAGAGGATGGTTGGGATTTTCCCATTTTGGCTTTGAAGGCATGCCTGTGTCGGTTGACCTTTTTTCGGAGTTGTCACCCATGGCTGTACTGCTAGGATGATGTTTGTGTTTGGCTAGGTTTATTTAGATCGTTGCTCTGATACCATCAAGAGAAACAAAATGTGGAAAGGTTTATTTTATTCAGTATTCACAAACACGAGCTACAGCTTTATACAAGAGTTGCAGATGTCGATCCTGTTATGTTGCCTATAATTACGACTAACCAAATATTCTATTCCCTACAATTATGGTTAACTAAGTACAGAACAAGTAAGTAAATAACTGAGTATCAATCTGCAGTATTGACTGCTTATTTTGTGTGATCTTCCTTAACACTGTAGAGGTTTCATTTGAAAGTTTTTGGAAGCAACATACTGAAATTTTTTTGTTGTTTAAAGAAATGAGGGAAGCAGAGTAGTGGAAGATCGTCATCTTGTGTTTTTTATTGTTTAGAGAAATGAGGGTTTAAGCAAGCAAGAGAGAGGCACGTGAAACATATGGCTCTCTCAGCTTCAGAGTCAAGGAAAATGGTTGGCATCCAGCGTGTGTTTCTTGCTGACATATCCACTTTCCTCCTTTTTTTAGCTTCTACGCAGTATGTATAAATGCCTTTATAAAACAAGATTTAGTGTTCAGTGTTTTAGAGCTTATTAGATATATAATCTAATGGAAATTTTAATGTCAGTTTGAATGATTTTAATCTATTTTGCTAGACAATCTAACAAACATTTGTTGTGTTGCTAGACTCTCAGTCTAGATCATTGGTTAGATGAAATCTTTAACCTAATAGGCAACATAAATGTCAAATATATGTGAAATTGGATTGTTGCCCTTGTTGAATTTCGACGTATTAAGTCTAGTGGTATTTCTCTTCCATATGTCAGAATAGTTCCCAAGATCGCACTCTCTCATTGATTTTTAGAAAATTAAAGTAATTGGTCAAAATTTGAAAGCATTTAATTTTTTATATATAGTATTTGAAAGCTTTTAATTTAAATGTGAACTAGTTTGACACTGTTCTTTACCTTCATTTGAACATAGGCAATAAGATATTTTGGGAGCACTCAGAACATAAGTGAAATCCACTATAAAAGATGGCTACCACATACCAATTAACTCTTGATATAGTGATACATTTCTTTCCAATGTTGGAAGATGTCCCAAATTCAAATCCTCCCTCCCCTATTGATAAAATAAATAAATAAACAATGGCTCCCACATAACCTAGTGAAAGATGGACATAACAAGCAAAAGGGTTTTTCCTAGAGAAGTACCTACCATTTTTACACGACGGATGTAAAAAGTTTCATTTGTCTATTTAAAATTTTAAAATCCTTAATAATATAGTAAGAAAAAAAAAAGAAGAACCTTGCTTCTAAGCTTCAGGACCAATTGTTTATTCAATATCTGGTTGTTATACTGCTTACTGAGGACAAAAGCTTGCAATGCCATCTAAAAATGGTATTGATCACCATATAGCCACCCTTGCCATATAGTTAGGTGTCTTAAGTGTTTGAAAAGAACATTATGAATATCTCACCTTATTTTTCTTGGGCCAGATTAGTGAGTGCATGAGTCTGGTTAAGAATGTAAAGACATATTCCTGAGCTCAGTTCTATTGATTTTTAATGCTTCATATATATTGTCAGTATATAAGGTCTTATAACGTTGAATTATTACCGTTTTCAGGGAACTCAAGCAAATTTCTTCTCGGCTATCAAACAGGCCACGATAGACCTTGAATCCAAACTGGACCTCAAAAGAACCTCACACATTTTTCTAAGAAGTGACTGCAATCAAGCCTGATTTCCTCCTTAGCTTGTTGAAATTTTTGAGATCAAAGTTTATCTTGAATTTGGCTGCGATTGTTGACTATAATGGCAGATGGATTGAACCATTACAAGCAAAAGGGTGATTTTTGTTTCCTTTATAGGTTTAATTTGTTTGATTATATCTCTTCATCTTTCCCCATCTCTTTCTTCCGGTAGTTTGCAATTTTGGGAACAGGGATTCTCTTTTTTGCATGCTTTGAATTTTGAAGCCTGATATGCATGGCTTAGGCCCTACTTGTGATCTGAACTATTTTGCTTTTTTGTTATCAGAGCTTCAGCTTGTTAGAATTATTCATATGAGTTACTCTTCCATAAAGACTGATATCTCTCACTCACAACTTCCCGAGTTTGAATTGCGAAAGAAATTCCTCAGATATGTTTAATGCAGGTCTTTTTAATCTCTGACTGATTAAACCTAAAAACTTGGGGCTGAAATAAATTTTGAAGAGGAAGTAGACATTGAGTTCTAAACAACTTGATCGCACCGTCTGCCACAGAAACTCCTCATGATGATATCGCACCGTCTGCCACAGAAACTTCTGAGGAGCCTAGTAAATCATCTTTTGAGACTGCAAAAGCATCAGATGTTACTAAGCCTGAAAAGTTAAGCAAACGCGTGGCACCAAATCTTGAATAGACAGACGAAGAAGATGATTTGTACAGAACAATTTTCATAAGCAATCTTCCTTTTGATATCAATAATGAAGATGTGGCCCTGAGAGTTTTGAACAACAATCCTGGTTCGATTCGATTCCCTCTAATGTTAATAAAAAAAAAGAGTCATCTATACTTAATCATTTCGGTCCCCCTCAAGCAACTCTTTCCATCTTTTATTTTTTTCATTAATTGTTCCGCAAAAGTTTTTCATCATATCTCAAACAAACGAGTGTTTTTAACCTTGTTATCCTTATGTTATGAAGAATGTCATCTTGCTTAGGGCAATCTTTGCATTCTATAAACATTTCCCTTTACATTACAAGGAGAATCAAAGGTACATTCTAGCCGTCACCCTCACCCTATCCTTGTCCATATCACTTGGGCTAAAGCACATTTGTAGTACGTTAAAATAGTTAAATAACATCTTACTTTTGTTGTCTTTTCATTTTTTGGTACAAATAACTTATTCTTATATAAAATGGATGATAATATACTAAACTCACACACACTACAAGAATGTTAGGATTCGAACCAAGAACTTTTTAATCGGGAAGCAATTGTTTCAAACCACTATACTAGTGGGTCCTTTACTGAGTTTATTCGTTTTTAAATGTCCCATCAAGATCATAACATTGCCATGCCTAACATTAAGACTTCCATTTCATGTACAATTCCGAGGAGAAAAGGCATGAAACATATGGGGGCATATATGGTAATTCATATAACTTGTTACAGCAAGAGTCGTACTTTAACATGTAAGTCTATGCTTTTCATTTTACGAAGGGGCACACTTTCAAAGCCAAAAAGGCACCCAACGAAGGATCCTATGTTCTTTTGACCCCCAAATTCCTTTCTTTTGATTTATTTATCAAATTTCTGCTCCACTCACAACCAATTACAAGTTACAACCAACCATAAGTTTCCTCCCTGTTTTAAAGCCTTTTAGCTATCAAAAAGGGGAAAAAAAGCCTAGATTCCAGGTTTTGATAAATACGATAGTCTAAACTACTCTAAATATTGAGTTTTCAGTTCATTTTGCTGAATGAATTGTATTTGTTGATCGAAAAATGGAACTAGATATATATTTTTCATAATCTTGGCATAGTTCTAAGAAATGTGACATCTATCCTTTCTAAGTGGTACCACAAAAAAAATCAAAAAGCCTCAATGTATATCTTCACTTTCTTCCTCCCAAATGACTATAGTATCTCAATTTTTCTCAACGTGGACAATGGACATGCTTGTATTGTATGTGGACATGGACATCTATCCTTTATAAGTTGCAGCCATAGCTTAGCTTGAATGTGGACATGCTTGTGGTGTACAGCAGATAAAACATAGTAGATAGATACCATACCACCCATGCATGTGTCTCCTTGACAACGACAAGCATATAAATTAAGATTGGTTTTTGGAGGGAAACAGAATCACGGGATACTAAAATTGTTTTTGGAGGGAAGCCATGTACTATTGGTTTGCATTTTGGCTTTTGGCCATAAACAAAGATTTGTTTGTGACAAAATTAAAATTGATTGAAAACACAAAACAGAAATTGCAGATTACATCAACTTCTGCTTTTGGTCTTTTGCCCAAATGTCCTAGCCTTCTTGTTTTTGTGTTTGTCTTCCCCATATTACTGTTCTTGAGCCAACTGTCAATGTGCCTGTGTATATCAATAATTTGATTGAAGACAAAATGAACTCTACCTTTGCTGCTCAATAGTGACCACATTTCAAACTCCACTTTCCCAAATTCCACATTTCTCTCTCTCTCTCTCTCTCTCTCTGGGTGTGTGAGAGAAGAATGGGAGCTGCTAGCTCAGCTTGGAGTTGGGTTCTACTCTGCATAGTGTGGTGGTCTCTAAGTCTTGAGCTGGCACAGTGCAATGTTGTGTATGATAGGAAGGCTCTTATCATTGATGGGCAGAGGAGAATTCTCTTTTCTGGCTCCATTCACTATCCCAGAAGTACTCCTGAGGTATCACTTTCCAAATTCCAGTTCCATATTTTCTAACCAAATCTGGTTTTCCTATGCAAAATTCCCATGACCCTTTAGCTAATGGGACATGGAAAATGAAATGCAGATGTGGGAAGGTCTTATTCAGAAGGCCAAAGATGGTGGCTTGGATGCCATAGACACCTATGTGTTTTGGAATCTTCATGAACCTTCTCCTGGCAATGTATTATGTTTTCTCTTAAGTTCTTTACTTGTTCTTTGTTTTCTCCTTCCTATAAGTTGCATTTTGTCCACATTATCCCTTTCTTTCTTTTCATGATTTTTTATCTTCAAAAATTTTCGCATTGTAGTATAATTTTGAGGGGAGGTATGATTTGGCTCGGTTCATAAAGACGGTCCACAAGGCAGGGCTTTATGTGCATCTTCGCATTGGGCCTTATATTTGCTCAGAATGGAATTTTGGGTAATGAGCATTTTTCCTGAGCCACAAAGCTGAAACTTTGATGGGTTTATGCTCTTAACTTCTTCACATTCATTTCTTTGATGATCTTTGCTTGGTACTTTTATTTTCTGTAGGGGGTTTCCAGTTTGGCTAAA